TTTGTTGAAGAATTTGATCTTCTGTATCTGAATCCACGTGTTAGAATAGAATGCTGCATATATTTTTTCCTCTTAGGAATGTGCTATGTGTGTAAGACAGTATTTTACTTCCCAGTGAGAGAAAGTATAACAAATGATCTATGTTTGTGTAAAAAGAAACCCCTAAGAAATATAATGTTGCCTTGAGTAATTAAAATGATTTGGGTGCACTCTGAGTCATGGAACTAACAGCCAACTTTTGAGAAATGTGTAACTGAGCTTCTTAGCACCTGGCTAGTTACATTTCTTAAATTTAGCTCCTTTATTAAAATATATATGGTTTGATTTTATCAAGACCTTACCTTATAAACCTCCCACAGAGTCTGTCAGATGTTTAATTTCATGTGCAAGTCTTATTTTTATTATCACATATAAGATATGTTTGGTTTTTTTTTTTAAGAAAGAACATGAAAAGTAGTCTCTGATAAAGTGAGTAAAATTGTGGGGCATCTAAGTTCATAGAATTATAAAACTAGTGACATGGAAAGGACCTCAGAGATCATCCTTGATGATTCTAATCAACTCCTTCATTCTACAGGAAATTGAGATCCAGGAAACTCGAAGTTTGTTTAAAATGATGCTGCTAATTAGGAGCATGGCCTCCATATTCTCAGGCCAGTGCCCATTTTCCTCCACCATCTAGTTAGCAACACACATACACAGTTGGTACCTCCACAGTTAGCCAGGTTTTGTATCATACTGGTTTTTTACATCCCTGATTTTTTGGTTTGTTTGTTTTTGTTTTCTTTGTTTGTTTGTTTGTTTGAGACAGAGTCTCGCTCTGTTGCCAAACTGGAGTGTAGTGGTGAGATCTCAGCTCACCGCAACCTCCACCTCCCAAGTTCAAGCAATTCTCATGCCTCAGCCTCCCAAGTAGCTGAGATTACAGGTGTGCACCACCATGCCCGGCTAATTTTTGTATTTTTAGTAGAGACAGGGTTTCACTATGTTGGCCAGGCTGGCCTCAAACTCCTGACCTCAAGTGATCCACCTGCCTCAGCCTCCCAAACTGCTGGGATTATAGGCATGAGCCACCTTGCCCAGCCCACATCCCTGTTTTGTGTTTGTTTCATGGTACCCTTCTTCATGTGTAAGTTTTAAGAATTGTACTCTATTTTTAATGAAAAAAGGAAACAAACCTCAATCATTTTCCTTTTTAAACTTATTCTTTTCAAACTATAGAGTAAGAAGTAAAATTATACCTCTTAATAGCTTGGCAGCTGCTGCATCTTACATGTTCTTCCAAGTGGAACACACCTGCTCTGTTGCTAATTGTGCCAGGTACCTTCCAGCATTTCATCTGGTTCATTGAAATGTTAGTGGGTGATGGCAGTATTTGTTGCTGGCTCTTTGCTGGAGGAGGAGGGGGCGAGATGAGTTAATCATCCCAGAACAAATCAGTAACAACTTATACCACAGGAGAGTGAGAGCAGGGTAATGTTTTCCTCCAAGTTCATTCCAGAACGTTTTTACCAAGGTGTGCTACAAATTGCATCTAATAGAAAAGAGAATATAGGTGCTATCAGGAAAGAGAGAAACTCAGAAGCTTCGAAAACGAGTAGTGCTGACAAACTTTGTTCTATTTTTTTGTATTTTGGGACTTTTTTGGTTTTTTAGCCTTTTTATTTTTGCTAGCCTAAGTATTAACTTGTATGATCCATTTATTTGGGGAGGAAAGTTATTGCTAAAATTTTTTTAATTATTAGAGTTGTTCTACTGTAAAAAATAATATATGTTCATAATTTTAAAAATTTAACTAGTATAGTATAAAATGAAAAATGAGTCTTCTGTCCTGCTAGTATTTATGCTCATTCTGTTTCTTGTGTATGCTTACAAAAATGTTCTTCCATATATAAATAGATGTCTTTGTCTATTTTTTATGTTTAAGAAACTAGAATCATACTTAAGATTCTGCTTTTTCTTTTTTCAATATATCTCAACATCTTTTTTTTTTTTTTGAGATGGACTCTCGCCCTGTCACCCATGTTGGAGTGCAGTGGCGGGATCCCAGCTCACTGCAACCTCCACCTCTCCTGCCTCAGCCTCCTGAGTAGCTCGGACTACAGGTGTGGGCCACCACGCCCTGCTAATGTTTGTACTTTTAGTAGAGATGGGGTTTCATCATGTTGGCCAGGCTCATCTCAAACTCCTAGCCTGAGTGATCTGCCCGCCTTGGCCTCCCAAAGTGCTGCAATTACAAGTGTGAGCCATCACTCCTGGCCTCTTTCCTTATTAGCAGAGACAATCCTATTTTTTAACCATTTTTAGGTACCAAAATACCCAGTTTTCTTTTTTTAATTCCTAAAATCTGTTTTTTTAACTCCTGAAAATCCTATTTTATTTTTTTCTTTGTTATTTCTAAAAAACAAAACCCAAAGCAAGAAAGTACTGTTTACCTTCTATTAGTGTTTCAACACTAATACAGTCAAGTATGTTTTTATATAAATACTAGATGTACAGTAAAAAGTAGGCACAGAAATGTTAGATTATCTTTGAAACTGTGGAGAAATTACTGTTATTTTTGCTTATATTCTTCTCTAAAAATTCATTAAATGAATAATAGTTATTGGTTTTGCTATTCAAGATAATTATAAAAATATCTATTATCGCTAATCTTCACGTGAGCAGAGGAGTGTCTTAATAATTTTCATTATTTTATTAAGCATGTAGAGTCAATAAGAGCATGCTAGCTTAATTCCAAAGGATAGACTTTTCTAAACCAAAATGTATACTCTAGTTATGTTCAGGAACAGCTGCTTTCTTGCCTAGTTCAAAACAAGAACAGAGAACCCAAAAGCATTAGATAACTTCATGGTAGTTCCTCTTCCAGCCAAACACACACGCAAAATTTTTTTTTTTTTTTTTTTTTTTTTTTTTTGAGATGAAGTCTCGCTCTGTCGCCCAGGCTGGAGTGCAGTGGCGCAATCTTGGCTCACTGCAACCTCTGCCCCTCCAGGTTTAAGCATTCTCTGCCTCAGCCTCCAGAGTAGCTGGGATTACAGGCACCCGCCACCACACCCGGCTAATTTTTTGTATTTTTAATGTTGAATCTGTCAGCCTCTCAGAAAAATGGTAGGCAATAAGTAGATTGCCCTCAATGTGCATGTGTTTTTCTTAGTCTTCAAAGTATCTAATAATTGTGCTGTATAACACTATTTTCAAATATCACTTTATAGAGAAAAATTTTTTCCATTTATTGATCCCTGTACCAGGAATGAATCTGAATTATTGTTAATCATAGGAATAATATGATTTATTATTATGTTAAGTCCAGCAACAAATTTATAATAGACAGTGCTGATTTTTGTTACGGTGAAACAGTTTTTCCAAATAGCCAGTAGTTAGTTAATATACACTAAATCTTTGGAAATATGGTCGTAATTGTTGCTTCTTTTCTATTGCTAAAGAATATCAATTTGTAGTTTTTTACTTTAGTAATTCTGCTCATCAAAGAAAATACCGTGATTTATCTCTATTATATTTAATAAAATTAATTTATGCTTTGATTTGCTTTAAACTTTTTGTAATATTTGAAGTTTTCTTTCTTTATCTGAAGAGAACTGAATCAAAACTAACTTTGTATATATCAAGGATAGTGATGAAACTGACCTGAAATCCTACCTTATAAGTAAGTTAAAACTAAAATGCGGCCGGGCACGGTGGCTCATGCCTGTAATCCCAGACGTTTGGGAGGCAAAGGCAGGTGGATCACCTGAGGTCAGGAGTTCAAGACCAGCCTGACCAACATGGAGAAACCCTGTCTCTACTAAAAATACAAAATTAGCTGGGCGTAGTGGCCCACGCCTGTAATCCCAGCTACTCGGGAGGCTGAGGCAGGAGAATCACTTGATCCCAGGAGGCAGAGGTTACGGTGAGCTGAGATCGCACCATTGCACTCCAGCCTGGGCAACAAGAGCGAAACTCCGTCTCAAAAAAAAAAAAAAAACACTGAAGTGCTTATTTGTGTCCCATGAAGAATTTCAATGCAGATAGCACTAATACGTTTTTTCTTTCCCCATAATTTGTTTCAATAATTTATAACACCTGTTTTGAGAAAAAAGTATTAATTTCATATAAATGTTATTTGCATTTGAAAAATATGTATTATTGTGGAGTCTAGAGAGATAAGTGTCCCATAAAGAAGGTGGATGGTATCCCAATGATGTAACAGCAAAGCCTGTGTGAGTTACGTTTACCTCACACCCACAGATTCCACTCCCAACAGTAGAGTCCCGAAATGACCTACACAGAGGACTCTCAAAGCCTCCAGAAATTAATAGGAACTCTCTCCTACTCGGAGAGGAACTTATAAGGCCTTGATTCTCTTGAAGTCTGGCAACTCATTTGACTGCTTCTTTTACTCCTGTGCCTCTGCCATTGTGTTTGACATGTGTACCTCAGCCCCTGCTTTGTCTCTTCCCCCACAACAGCCCTGTTTCTTGCCACTTTGGGCAGGTGCTCTCCATGTTTCCAGGACCCTCTTAACTCTCTACAAGGTGAGACCCTGCAGGCTGCTTATCTTCTCAGTGTATCCAGTCTGAAGGCAGGACCTAGAGAATTGCCAGTGGTTCTGAAATGAAGGGAACATGAGAGAATCCCCCTGTAGTTTCACTTCAAAACAAGGTTTAGGGAATGTGTCATTTCCTCAATATCTTCCTAAATTCTCGTTAATTGAAAGTTTCACAGAATAATCTAGGGATGAATTGCTTTTCTGTTTAGCAACTCACTCCTTATTTAGTTGATTTGAGTCTCTGAGCTCAGCCTCTGCCACATCTCATTTTTTCTTACACAGATCTTCCATTAAAACTTAGAGAATACTGTAAATTCTCAAATTCTAAGGGTTGTTTTTATCAAGTAACATATTTGCTCTTCATGATGTTTTTCAAAGGTTCAGCAGGGCACAGTGGCTCGTGCTTTTAATCCCAGCATTTTGGGAGGCCAAGGTGGATGGATCACTTGAGCTCAGGAGTTCAAGACTGGCCTGGGCAACATGGTGAAACCCCATCTCTACAAAACATACAAGAATTATCCAGGCATGGTACCCTGCATCTGTAGTCCCAGCTACTTGGGAGGCTGAGGTGGGAGGATTGCTTCAGCCTGGGAGGATGAGGCTGCAGTGAGCAGTGATCATGCCACTGCACTCAAGTCTGGGCAACAGAGCAGGACTCTTTGTCACAAAAAAAAAAAAAAAAAAAAAAAAAACCGGAAAGTTAACCTAAATATCAGTAACATCCCTCTAAAAGTCTGTTACAGATCTAAAATGTGAAAGATGTTATTCTCTGTCACCCTAACTCCGCTGTCCTCTTGTTTTGTCAACCATGCTATTCTAGGGTTTCTCAACCTCGGCACTATTGGCATTTGGCGCTGGATAATTCTTTGTCGTTGGGAATATGTTGTGCATTATAACATGGTTAGTGCCATTGTCCTCTGTCCACTAGATGCCAGACACACCTCTTCCCACTTGTGACAATCAAAAATGTCTTTCAGACATGGCCAGATTTCCCTGGGAGTCAAAATCACTCCTTACTCTCCAGTTGAGAACCACTGCTCTATTTTAATTTTTATATATAATATATATAAATTACAATATGAATATTGTAATTAAAGGAAAAAACACAAGTGTAAAATAAAACACTTTTCATTTTAAGATCCTGTAATGAAATTTTGCTTACATTATTCCATTAACTGAAGTATATGAGTAGTGGTATATGAGCTATAGACTACCCTACTTAAAAACAAGAATTTTACATAAAGATATATCCAGCTTTGTGAAACTCAAAGTGATGAGTATATATAAAATGTCTAATAATTAAATGTAGATATCTTTTGACTTATGTTAATTTCCTTTGCTTCAGAAGTTAACCATATGCTAATCTTTTCATAAACTATGGAAAATCAACTGTATGCTAATATTTTTATAATTACTTAGCAGTCACAGTAATGGGTCATATTGGTGTCTCATTTTAATATGGTTCCCCTTTAGGTACATAAAAAGGGAAGAACTTTTTCTTATTTAAGTGTGTCTTTTATTCAGACAAGCCATGCATACAATAAAAGATGTTTCAACATATTGGAACAAATTTGCTTTTATTACTCTTTTATTTGAATTTTTTTGTACTTAATGAGTCTTTTCTCTTTTTACCTCTCTTACCGCTTCCCCATTGCTATAGGCGTTTTTAAGCAGCCACTTCTTACACACCACTGTATTTTGGTGACCTGGTTTGGGAAGAACTATTCCCTAGTGATAAGAGATTAGGAAATAGTTTAGTCCCAAAAGAGGAAGTGGGTAACCCAAATGACCCTTCAGTTTGCAGGAATTCTAAGAAAGGGGGTGCCTTCTGGTGCTTCTTGCCTCCGTGGTTATCTGCAATCAGTTTTCATTCTTCTCAAACCAGACCTGTCAGACCACTAGGAAATAAAAGCAGGATTATTTAGCAATATGATGCCAGATGCATCAGCAGTGCTTGGAGTGTATCACTTGTCTCACCAATCCCCAGGCCTGGTGGGGGGACATTTAGTGGTCCATTTCTTTCACTAGTGCCCAGGACTGGTGGGGGCACAACCAGTTGCCCATTTTTCTCACTTCTACTCTGGTATTTAATCAGCTTTTTAAAAATTATAGTATTGTATTGACATTGTCTCTTCATGAGATTTGTGATTACCTACCTCAGCGAGGCCCGTGGTCTTGGTCATCTTTTTTGTTCTTCCCTACTGACTCTACCCCATTCTCTACAGCAGCAGGTCAGAAAACAGTGTCCACATTTCTCACTCAGGCTGCTCATTTCTTCCTCCAAGTTGACTTGGTCTTCTGCTTTCTTGAAGAGAGGCCATATAATATGAATCCCCTCACATTTTCATCCCTGCTTTATCTGGATTTCTGTAATTTTACCCTCCTGCAGCTGTTTTCGAGTATCAGAGAAGGAACTGCTTTTCCTTTCTATGGCAGACCTCTCCAGTTGTGCTTTTGGTCATTTTCCTGTCTCACATTCTTCTGGTCCTTATTCAATCAGTGATCCCCATTCCCACTCACGTACCAGCATTGAAATTTTTATTTATTCATGTAACACATACTTGAGTGCCTGCTGGTTTTCCATGCACTGTGGTAGAAGACAGTCTGGATGGTATAATGGTCAATAAAACAAAAATAGTCCTTGCACTTATGGAACTTACAGTCTAACCGGTGACAGTAACTTTAATCAAAGAGTCACAAAACGAAACATAAAAGCAATAAAAGGACAGTGAAAGGAAACTATGAGGCCGTGTGGTGAGAAGTGGATGAATTAGGTTTTAAGAGGAGCCGGGTAGGCGGAAGGATTCATTTGAGGCATTAGAAGCAGCATGTGCAAAAGCCTACTGTGGCCAAAAATGTTTCGTAATGGCTGCAGCTTAGGATACAAAGTTGAAAGCAGAAAAAGCTGGACCTGAACAAGTAGACAGGATTGAGGAGGTCCTTGACTGGCGTATTAAGGAGCTGAATTTTATCCTGAAGGTAGTAAGGAGCCATTAAAGTATTTAAAGCAAGGGGATGACATGATCATATTGGTTGTTTCAAAAGCTCATTCTAGAAGCTCTGAAAAGACTGGGAAAAGCCTACTGAAAGAAATAAGACCAGAAGCGACTGTTGCAATAATTCAAGCCAAAAATAATAAGGAGCTAGGAATTGATGACTAAATCCATGTGAAGGAAAAGACATCTGACTTTCTGATTGAAACATCTCTGTGTGTAATAATATAGGAAGGACTTCCATTTGAGACATGTAAAGTTCATAGCACCTGCAACAGCCAATTGCAGATACCTTGCAGACATCTATGAGGCTCAGGAGAGATTTGCTGAAAACTCATATTTGCAAGATAGTTTTGATTAAAATTTATGGATCCAAGTATATTTTCAGAAAAATTGCTGTGTTTAAACTTGGTTTGCTGAAAACTAACCATTGCTAAGTTGTTATGTTCTGAAGAAAACTTGATATCTGAATCCATGGGAATAGAGGAGTGTCAAGAATGAAAATGATAAAAGGTAGAAGACAGGGCCTTAAGGAATGCCATTTTTTTTAGAGTAAACTGAAGGGAAGGAACTTGGGAAGGATATTTCTTTGTAACAGCCACTGCCTGGTATACAGCCTTCTGGTCTCTGCTGGTAACAGTATCCATTCTCCCATTCTTCAGTCTTCATTGCATCTTTTACCTGCCTCCTGAAGATACTTTCCTAAAATAGAAAACAAATCATGCGACTTACCAGTGCATAAATCTTAGGCTCCATATTTGTCTATAAAGTCCAAATCTCATAAGTTTTTATCTAGGTCTCACCCCTCAAAGATTAAATAGATTTTCTCATGTATTTTTGCCTTATCTTCCAAAACACCCTCCTAATTATGCTGCCCCACAGATAAGTATTTGTTACTGTTTTTAATTGGCACAATTAGTATCCAAAACTACAAATTGTGGTCAGGATGGTCTTCACTTTTTGGAGATGGAATCTCACTCTGTCTCCCAGGTTGGAGTGGAGTGGCATAATCTTGGCTCACTGCAGCCTCCGCCTCCTGGGTTCAAGCAATTCTCCTGCCTCAGCCTCCTAAGTAACTGGGATTACAGGTGCCCGCCACCACACCCGGCTAATTTTTGCATTTTTAGTAGAGACCGGGATTTCACCATGTTGGCCAGGCTGGTCTTGGACTCCTGACCTTGTGATCTGCCTGCCTTGTCCTCCCAAAGTGCTGGGATTACAGGCGTGAGCCACCACGCCCAGTGGTCTTCATTTTTTGTTACAGTATGCTTCTAGAAGCTGCATCTTAACACAGAAGAATTTTTTCCCTTAAGGAAGAGCATTATAATTAGAGGATTTAACATCAAGTAAACCAGATACATTGTCAGTAATTCTGAAATCAGGCCGGGCGCGGTGGCTCATGGCCATAATTCTAGCACTCTGGGAAGCTGGAGCAGGAGGATGACTTGAGGCCAGGAGTTTAAGACTAATCCAGACAGTATAGTGAAACCTCATCTCTACTAAAAAATCAAAAAAAAATTAGACATGATGGCATACACCTGTAGTCCCAACTACTCAAGAGACTGAGGCCACAGGTTGGCCTGAGCCCAGGAGGTCAAGGCCACAGTGAACTATGATCACGCCACTGCACTCCAGCCTGAGTGACAGAGCGAGATCCTGTCTCAAATTAGAAAGTAAGTGAATAAACAAATATATACATACATACATTCAAAAGTCAAAGAAAACTTCAAACTTATGTGAATATTTAAAATCATAAAATTGTGCTCCGGGAAACAGAATTGTAGCAATAAAAGAAACCTTTCTAGTCTTGCGTAGAGCTTGTATACTCCAGTAGTTTGTAAACTGCCATCTATAGGGCCCTATTCCTCAGGGATCTGGGGGCATAGGGTTGGGAAGCAGGGGGTGCCAGGCCATGCAAACCTAGTTTCACCCAGAATAATTCTTATTTCACATATTTACACCTGAGCCTTTCAAATAAAATTGTATTGAAAATAGTTTTGCCCTTAAATCAATTTGAAAAACACTAGTATAAACTTCACACTACTTCTGTGTCCTTGGTAACTCTGGGCCTCCACTTCCTGGTCTGTAAAATAAGAGAATGGTGCTATGATGCTTGTGTTTTTATTTTGAACCCCCAACCCACTTTCAAGTGGAAAAAAAAGACCCCAAGAGAGGCTAAGTGGTTTACTCAGGCCACATAGAGTTAATGACAGAACCAAGGCAAGAACTGAACCACCAACCCTAGTTGTTTTTCCTCTCTTGCATCCTTTTTTTAAAAATCCCTACAAAGTAGATCTAAACAAACTATGAAATTATGGAAAAGGTATATCTATAGTGAGGTATATAAGCAGCATGTAAAAATAGAACTATACTGTACCATAAATTTGCCTTATTTAAGTCTTGTGGGCTAGATGCAACGTACATTGATTGAACATTAACCTAATTTTATATTCATTCTTCAAGTTTATAAAAACATTTGGGGGAATTGTTTGCATAGCCCATTTCTTTTTTACAAAGCTATCTATGAGTTGTTTTCTTCCTTATAAATTTCCACATAATCAGTGGAAGCATTTCATCATTCCATTAATCATTTATTTTATGTTAACTCTCATTGCATTTAAATTTAAAAGCATCACTAACAAGTTATGAGGGTTTGGAAAGCAAGGATCTCTAGATTCGGGTCCTTTCACTCATCACTTTTGCTTTGCTCATTTTCCTGTGTTCATCCCTTCCTCTCTAAGTCAACGATATCCATGAAGAGGAAACAAAGTCATAAGACAATGTCTGAGAAGTGTGTATGGAAAGAAGGGCAGTCATGTTCCTTGGCCTTGTCGATGGTGAGGGTATTTGCAGGCTGATTGCACACCAGCCTTGGGGGCTTTTTTGTTTAAAGGTAAAATAAAACAAAACAGCTCACAAAGCGATCTCCTTCCTCCTCCCACTTCTGCCCCATCTGACGTGCTGCTGCTAAGACCAAAGAATGAGTAAAGGTGTTTAGAAGTGAAATATTGGTCCTAGTTAAGTGTCCTTTTCAAGTAAGTTTTAAAACTTTGTAATGTGGACCCGGTATTAACTTAGGAGTCATATAATTTGAACACAGGCTAACCTGCCTCTGCATCGTTAAAAAGGATTTGGGTATCCCAGTGATAGCAATACGCAGTAGGAAAGATGGCAGGGACAATGTTTAACATACCTAAGACAAACTTTCTGAGGACGTCACAGCATCCATTTCACATGAACAAACTTAGCAGAATTGGCAAGACCTGCGCATGGCAACATATTGTTACTCATTTTTCAGGATAACAAAAAATAATTAAAAGTAACATTGGCTTAACACTGATATATAGTTCAGTGTGACTTCTCTCAACCTCTGGAATAGGTTCAAATTGATGAGAATTTCTGATTAGAGCCCTTATGTTATTTTTTGAAAAGTTTTATCAAGTTTCATATATACCTATATTAATGGTAAGATACTGGTCTTGCCATGGTCAAAGAGATAAAAATGATGCCGAGACCTTGTAAAGAATAGCTGGACATGGAAGTGCACACCTGTAATCCCAGCAACTGAGAAGGCTGAGATGGGAGGATTGCTTGAGCCCAGGAGTTCAAGGCTGCAGTGAGCTATGATCATACCACTGTACTCCACCCTGAGCGGCAAAGCATGACCCCATCTCTAAAAAATAGAAAAGAATAAAACATTTCACATTTAATTTGATTGCTGTGTTTAGAATTTATTTCACAAGTCTAGAAAGAAACAGGATAATTTCTGTTATGATGGTGCTTTCTGAGGTTTTGATGATTTTCTTTGCTTATTGCTCTATTGGATGAGGGCAGTCTGAATTAGTAGTTGAATCTGAGATTTCCCGTGTATGTGTACTTTTTTCCCAAACACGATTTAACTGAGTCAGAGCAATTCCACTGGTGGAGAAAAATCAAGATGTCATGGGTACTTTTGTTGTTCTACCAAATTGGGTCACCTGTTACAACACTCACCTTTTACCACAAAGTCTCCTTGCTCTTCAATTCTTGTTTTTATTATGCTTGACTGAAAGCTATACAGTTAGCAGTAATAGTCATATAATTATGGTCCAGAAAAGCATAATATCCTCTTGAAATCTGTAAGAAAAGTAATGCTTGTTTAAAGATAGTGCCAAATCTTGCTGAAGAATGATCTTGCCGAAATCTGATTGTGAAGAAGGAAATCTAAAAAGGCCAAACAAGCTTCAGTAGAGATACCACCGGGAAAGCAGTTACTCAAACAAGACTGAAAGAGAAGGTTGTATTCCTTTTCTTTCATTTCATTTTATTTTTATGTTTTCTGGATTACTGAAATAATTAGAAACATATGGTATATCTCCTTCATTTGTATATAATTGAACTTCAACATAATAACAATTCATATTTTCTTTGTGAATGTTTAATGGATCCTTTCCATAACATGTGGTTATCTCTAAAAAATACTGCAATTCATTTTATAGCAACATTAGGTTGATTTATAGAATACTATATATCATACCAAACTCAGTTTCCCTCAGTATAATTTGAAGTTAATGTTTCAGATTCTAAAGGAAGTATCCAACATTCAGGTTATAATTTGGTACCCTTGAAAGTGCTTATTGTTTTTCTCACGAAGGTGTCATTAATAAAACAAGATATACTGAACACATTTTGTAGATTTAAAGAGTTTTCAAATTCAAAATCTTGCATACAGTTCAATGCGTATTACTCTGAAAATATAGAGTATACTGTAAAGAATATGAAGGAAAGATACAGGCTGAGGTCGGGCGCGGTGGCTCACGCTTGTAATCCTGTCTCTTATACACATCTAGATGTGTATAAGAGACAGACTCCAGCCCGGGCCACAGAGCGAGACTCCCTCTCAAAAAAAAAAAAAAAAAAAAAAAAAAAAGCTAATAAGCAGAACTTTGTCTTCATATATTTTCTATAAATGCTTAATGTATTTGAGTAATTTATTTTGAAGTATTTATTTTAAAAGAACTCTGGAAAGTTGTTAAATTTTTAATTAGTACTTGCTGTGTCACTTAATATGCCCATAAAAAGTCACTCTTTTACCTCAAAAAAAATTTTTACATCAAAATGTTCCCAAAATATTTCTCAATTTTTATCATTTTAGATTATCTTTTGGGCCTAACATTGTGTCCAAACTTTATATTCAAATTACATTACTAACAAAATATAACAGGAGTGTAACAGCCTTAAACAGCTTAGCTATCATACCCTCCCATCCCATCACCACCACCCCCACATACATTGCTGGGTGCTTGCTTACTCAGACGTGCACACAGACAATCCTTGCTGAGTTTCCTTGGGGAAAATATTTGTTCAAGTTAACCCTGCTCTATGCTTTGGCAATTTGACGAATAATATGTCTCTTCCAGTACAAAAATTCTGATTCAGATGACAGTTATTTACAGAAATGGTCTAATAAAATCATGCAGCATTTCACAAGACAGTAGATGAAAGACAAATGTAATTTTTAAGAGTCACAAAATCATGATCTGGAAGATACCTTAGAAATTTTTTCTATAATCCCTCTGTTTTATAGTTAAGAAAACTAAAGGGAAAGGCCTTGTACAAATTTCACAGGGCGTATTTGTTAGCACTTGAACCACAACCTAAAATCTCCAGATTCACAGACTACTAGCTTCTTGTTGTTGTTGTTGATTTTCTTTTTAGCTAGATTTAGTATTCACAGACTCCATGGTAAGGTATCATTTTGTTGTAAGTTTTCTTTCTTTTTGAGAGAAAAAACCAATCATATAACTATTTATAGCCCTGTATAGCTTCAGAGCACATTCACTCATGTTATTACATTTGATTCTCATAGTATCCCTGGAAGAGGGACAGATCAGTATTCTGACTCTTGTTTTTCAAATGGAGAAACAAGATCTAAAAGGCTATGACTTGTCTCGGATCCCTGCATGTGGTATGTGGAGATCCAGTCCCACAACGTGGGTCCCCTGATTTCAGTCTGTGGTTCTTCTTACGCCGTCCCTCTGCCTGTTATATGGTTCAAGCACACATCCCAGGTTTTATAGTTTCCTGTTTTTCTGTTATCTGTCAGATTATGTTTTTAGGTCCAGTCTCTGGACAATTAAAATTTTACATAATAGTGGATAAACAGTCACTGACCCTAAGGAGCTTATACTCAAGAACAAAATACACTAGGAACAATAAGGACAGACTGTTTCAACAACCAAAAAAAAAAAATGACCATGTTTAACACATCATGGGAACAGTGCTCTTGGTGTCTTTGCACATAAAAATTCATAAAAATTGTTAGAACTTTTTACTTAATATTATGCAAATGAAAAAATGTCTGCTACATACACCTCACTCGGTCTACATTTTGTACCAGTTTTCACAAGATACAGAGATCCATGTCATGCCCTCCAGATTAAAGTTCA